ACATTATTTTGTACTGACGCCCCACGGCCTTGGGGGCGCTGCATTCATGCATGCAGGTCCTGACAGACGACTGAGTAGACCTCCTCAGCAGCAGGATTGACTTTTATCCAGTTGGCTAGCCCCTTTCCTCCGGAGCTGCCAGAGTTGGGAGGTTTGTTACATTTTGTTGTATATATCTTTATGGGTAGGCTGGGGCCCTGTCCCACCAATCTTTACTACTTTTAGAGGCTTGCAGACTAGTGTGCGGGGTTTATAGCTACGTTATGGCCATACTGGCCTATGTTGTTGGTTTGCGGAAGCTTGTGAGCTGTTTGATGTATTGTATTGATATATACCTGCTTTTAGTTTTGGTATAGATATCATGGTGGCCTCGACGGCCCAATTAGGACTTTTGTGCTAGTTGACTATTTATTTATATGATCTCCTGAGTGTAGCTATTTCTGTTATAGATTAGTTGACAGGGGCCTTGCCGGTCGATGACTTAGTTTTAAGCCGAGATGTACTTGTTTGATTTCTTGATTGTGTGTGGCTGTCATGCGCTAGTAGCAAATGGTTCAACTGGGTCGGCTCAGGCCTGAGTTTTGGCATTAGGAGCTAGTTGCGCCTCTCGAGTTTGGGGCGTGACATATTTCTACTTTTATAAGTCAGAAATAAATCGTGTACATGCTATTCTTCTCAAACTTGTCATATGAAATGCATTAGATACTGTATCTTGTTGTGGAAGGTCATAATTTAAAGGGAAAATTGTACATAATGACAAACTATTAATTCAAATTAAATAGTATAACCACACTTTGATTTAATTGTGTCATGTAGCAAACTGTTTGCCAGTCGCCTCTCTCCCTCAAACTCTCGCTCGCCACTCTCCCTCTCTCGCTCGCTCCCTCTGTGCTCGCCTCTCTCTCTTTATACAACAGAATTGTATAAATTGCGTTTCTGTTTGTATAAAGCGAGAGAAAATTGTATATACACATGCAGATACATATATATTCATCCTATACACTTATAATTATACAATAAAAATATTCCCCTGCCCAATTCTCTTTTGCTTTTCTCTCTTTCTCGTTTTATACAACATAATTGTATAAATTGTGTTTCTGTTTGTATAAAGCGAGAGAAAATTGTATATACACATGCAAATACATATATATTCGTCCTATACACTTATAATTATACAATAAAAATATTCCCCTGCCCAGTTCTCTTTTGCCTCTTTCTCTTTCTCGTTTTATACAACATAATTGTATAAATTGTGTTTCTGTTTGTATAAAGCGAGAGAAAATTGTATATACGCATGCAAATTCATATATATTTGTCTTATACACTTATAATTATACAATAAAAATATTCACCTGCCAACAAGAGGCTAATAACAATTTATACAAATGGCCTGCCAGCGAAATTATACAAATCTGAAGAGGAGCCAACGAATTATACAATTGCTTCTTTTTGTATATACGTATAGCGAAATAGACATAGCTTTCAATTGTATATGTATAGCGAATTATACATATTCATGTTTACTATGGAGCGCAATTATGCAAACTTTGCTATAGCATACAAATATGATTTTTTTGTTTGTATATGTGAAAATTGCTCTAATTTAAATAGCGGTGCAGAATGATCATATCTGTGCAAATCTCGGTCCCAAACCATATTACCTCATAGTGGGCCTAAGCCCATATAAAATTAAAGCCGCGAGTCCAGATCCAGACAGAATAACCTTACACTATATCATCTCCTCGAAAACCCTAGCACTCACTTGACAATCCACACCAGTAACCCTCACTCTTCGCGCCTGATAGCAGCTCCATCAGATCGCCGAAAATGGTAAGTTTTCACGCAGTTTACGCATTTTCGAGCTCTGAGATTTAATGTTGAGATTTGAAGAAATGTGTTGGATTGTTTTCTGCAGCCGTTCAAGAGGTTCGTAGAGATCGGAAGAGTTGCCCTCGTCAACTACGGGAAGGATTACGGGAAGCTTGTTGTTATCGTCGATGTCATTGACCAAAATAGGGTACGTGTTCTTCGCTTTTTTGCTTTCCTGAGCAGCTTTTATACTCTTTCAATTTGTTTATAATTGAGCAACTCCGATTATAGGACGTTCCAAACGCTTTGCATTATTCTCCTGATAGTATCATTTTACAATTACTTTATACACCTCAATCCATGCTATTTATGATCGGATTTATGGATGTTTACCGTTCATGTGGTTCCTAAAATTGTATTAGATCATCGTTTAACTCGTTGGTTTCATTGTTAGTATGTTATTTTCTGGTTAATCGAATTTATATGTTGAGTGCCGTTTTGCCTTTGGAACTGCTTTGCCATGTCTTTTGGCAAGGAAGATCGTTTTTCTTAGTTTATGAAGGATACTTTCAAGGCCTATGATGGAATTTGATAACATGCCTACATTGTCTGATCATATAAGTTTGATTGAGCAACATGAACTGAGGCCTTGTTTTAAGGATTGACAAATAATAGTTCTTATGTATTTACAGTGGTAAAATTTTGAATTGGCAGCTATGAAAATCATTTGCAATTATTAAATAATTGCTCGTTTGGAAATCTGTTTTTAAAACTATCCCATTTTCCATGGGCTATAATCATCTATACAAATTTTCTCTGTAAAGCCTGGAGATTTATTTAGTCTGTCTCTATTTGTCCTGGAATCGTCAAATATACTATTTTTTTTTGGTTGATACAGAAACGTTTGCAAAATGGACTACATTATTGCATCAAAGGATACATTAAGCTCCCCTAGGATCTGTTGTGCATTCTGTTAAGACCTTTACCAATTAGTAATACAGAAGGCAATAAATTAGAGTCTCTGGTGCGCTTTGTCAATAGCGTATTCAGCGCTGTACGTTGCCAAGAATGAAATGGGGCAGAGATTCTAGCACAAGGACTATCTTGCAATTGTCCTTGTGCATTCAGATGCCTCTTCATTTTTTGAGAACTTCAAACTTGGGTCATACAAGAAGTAACTAATATCTTTTTTCTAACATATCAAACAAAATAATGTCTTTTATAATATTTTAACAAGTTCTCTCATGGGTTGAGCTAATAAATAGGCCAGCTGGCGGGATCATGTTTTCATGGGCTAATCTTGCCACTCCTAGATAGTGGCTAGTTGTTTGATTGACTTATAAATTACTTGTACAAGATGGAGAAATTAAAAACTGCTTGGATGAAATACCTATCCATCTCTATAATTGACAGGCTCTTGTTGATTCCCCGGACATGGTGAGGAGCCAGATGAACTTTAAGAGACTTTCACTCACAGATATCAAAATCGACATTAGTAGAATCCCAAAGAAGAAGACCCTCATTGCTGCTATGGAGGCTGCTGGTGAGTACAGTGCTTAGAATTTTTTCTTTTCCCTCTCGAAGATGTAGATTAGTAATTACTTTAGCAGCTTCCTATGCATTCTACTTGGTTGAAAGTTTTATGAAGTTCAATCACTCTTTTGATTTGTGCTCCCAGACGTGAAAAACAAATGGGAGAGCAGTTCCTGGGGAAGGAAGTTGATAGTTCAGAAGAGGAGGGCCTCACTTAATGATTTTGACAGGTTCAAGCTTATGCTGGCAAAGATAAAGGTGTGATTATGTTTAATATTAAAGTTAGCTTCATTTTTTGCTGGACACTCTTGGTTAAAGCTTAGAGCAAGGAGATTGTTTACCTGAAAAAGTGGAGAAAGTCTTTTTTTTGTTAGATTGAAAAGGCAAAATGTTACGCTATCCTTGTGCTTCAACTTTATTATGGACAATTTTTCCTTCCAAACTAGACTTTACACTGTTAAGGTCCTGAAAATGTAGATGGTTTGGATCCAGTCAAACATTGAGATTTCTGTGGTATTTGTCTTCTGTCACAAGCTGATACAATTATATTGATTTTGCAGAGGGCTGGAGTCGTGAGACAGGAGCTTGCTAAGCTCAAGAAGGAAGTTGCTTGAAAACTTTTTGATTAGTCAAATTTGAATATTAGATTTTCAAAAGGTATACTTGTTTAGCTTTGAGATTTTGTTGCATTATGGGAAGAAAAACATATTTTTGTTTTTACTTCCAACGTCTTTCTATAGTTTTTCTGATCTATGATGATGAATGATCTTTTCCAAGAATTACCTGCTCCGTCATTTAATGTAATGGTTTTATCATTTTGTTGTGTGCAATCAATTAACTATGACTCTCAGTTGTAAGTTGGCAAAGGTCGAAGTATTGGTTTCTAGTTGTGGAACCCTATATTTCCTGAGTTTTGAAGGCTGCTAAGGTTGTCCTTCGGGCTTCATTCAAGGTTGATTTTTTGGTCATAAACATGTAGGGTTAACTCAATATCATTCCTTCTGGTTTGGTACTATTGGTAGATCATTTTAAGTACTTGAGCTCCTAACTCAATGGAAGAGAAGTACTTGAGCTCCTAACAAAGATGTGACAGTGTATGAAGTAGGTCTAGACTTTGGAGTTGGAAATATGTAGCCAGAAAAGGCAATGCAAGTAAGAAAAATCATGTCTAATCATGGTGAATTGTCATTTCATTAATAGAAGATCCACCGAAGAAATGGGAGAAAATGAAGTAGAAAATTCAATTAACATGAGACACTGAATTATCTTTCTCTCGGAGTTAAAAGATTGATAAAACTTGAGAAAAGGTTCGCTGGACTACAAAGTCATTGATTTTCACTGGTTCCATATGTAGTTTCTTCATGTGAAGAAACAGACTGAAAAGGAAATCAAAACAAATAAATTAAAATGGAGGGAGAACTAAAACAGAATCCCACAATCAAATATTCTAAAGTCGAGTTAAAAAGATGCATTCAGATTGACCCTAATAGAATTCCTTTCACTAGGCATTCCAGCAGGCATAAGACAAAGGTTACATCAATTTCGTACAACAATATATTTATTCATATATATAGATATATATAAAAAAAAAACTCTCGCACTTAACATTTCTTTGGATGAGTCTAAATGCACTACTATGGTGGCCAGCATCTCTAATCTAGAAACAAAAACAAGGAATATGATAAGTTGGATAAGCTTCAATTGTCACATATAGAAGGTACAGCACATTAACTAATTTACAGCACTTGGAGACATCCTCCGTAAATAGGATTGAGTGTTCAATCAATCAGGAAATTCTCTCTTTACAAGTGCATTCTCTTACTTTCTGATTGAAAGAAATTCAAAGCTCCGAAGAGGGTTATCATGGTTGCCCTTTGTGAGTGAAGTTCGCGAGAATGATGATGGTTTTGTTTCAATTCCCTGCTGAATTCTCTGTGTGGTAGATAGACGGCCAGTGCTTGACACTAATCTGCTTGAGCGACTATCCGTGGGTTCAGCAGAAGAGGTCGGTTTGCTGCTTGACATGACAGCTCTTTTAGAAGAGCTTCCATTTCTCGAGCTACGGCCTCTCTCTGAATCAGCTTGCTGCAAAATAGAGAATAAGCTTTACTAGTTTAGCACACAACGGCTTTTTACCTAGTAGCTCAATGAGACAAAATTCAGAATAAATATATCTAGAATTCAGATTTGTACCACATAAAATACGTATAGCTAAACAGTACATAAATTTTCTTATGCTACTTCTAGTTAAGGCTGGGCACCGGACCGGAATGGGATGGTTTGACCGGGTTGTTGACCGGTACCGGGATGAACCGGACCGAAACTACCGGGATGGAGGCTCAGTTCCGTCCCGTCCCACTAAATACCGGAATAGAATCGGGACGGACTGGAATGGACCGGAACGGAACGGGATGGGATAAACGGGACAGCACATATAGTTATTTCAAAAAATAATTATTTTTTTAAAGTTATTTTGAATTACGAAAATACGAATGTTTTTTTTATTTTTCTAAGTTATATTAGTTTATAGTATTTAAGTTTTAAAATTTATAATAATTTTACTTAAGTTTATTTTAAAGATTTTTTTTTTTAATTTTTACGTATATAAATTTGTAAGTTTAAGTTTAATAAAGTTTTTTTTTTTAGTTTTTGAGCTTATGTAGTTATGTTATAAGTTTTAAAGATTTGAATCTTTTGAAGTATACTTATAACTTATAAGATTTGAATCTTTTGAAGTATACTTATAACTTAAGTTTGTAATTTTAAAAAATTAAATAAACAAAAAAGAAATGCTAATAAAAGTAAATAATGACAAAAATATTATTTTTTATTTTAATTAAAAATGATTTACCGGTACCGGACCGGAACGGAACCGGAATGAACCGGTACCGGTATACCGGTACCAAATCATGATACCATTCCGTTCCGTGTACCGGTTCAATGTATCCCATCCCGTCCCGAACCCATTCCGGTGCCCTACCTTACTTCTAGTTAATATACGAATAGTATATAAACTGTTAGTTCACTAAATATCCAGTTAGTGCCTTAGCCAATAGCAAGTAAATAGATTACAACACAAATTGTCCGAGCCAATTGAAAGGAATTGTCTGTTATTTCTCTTTTTTTTTTTTAGAGAAAAAGGAGAGATCAATACCACATCTTTGGATGAAGGAATATCCTCTGAAGTCCTCTGTCTGGAGTGTTCCCCATGCCTACCAGCTGCAGAAGTATTCCTTCTGGAAAATGCTTCAACAGCACCAGTAAATCTATCCCGAATATCTTGCCCCACTAGATTAAAGAATAAACACACAAGCGTCAACCAGTGATAATTGTCAAAAGCTGCAATTTCACTAATAAGCAGACACACAAGTAGATGCTGGCACACAAATTACCCTTACCACATCTGGAAATTAGAAGGTCAAGAGCGGATACTCATAATCCAGGAATTTAAATGCACACATTTTACAAATTATCTGTTACTGAAAATAAAACTCATAGATAAGACATGATTTTGACGTGTCTTGCTTGAAGAAATTACTAAATGCCAAAAGAAACTAATCACCCCAGCCAAATAATCCCTATAATGAGCTACTAAAAATAGACATCACGCCTTATTTGAGAATACATACAACTTTTTTTGGAGAATATATGCATCTTCAACTTCAAAAATAATACCTGACGCCCTTCCTTGCCTTTCTGCAGATGGCCCAGCATTTAGTCCGGCATTCCCACTAGGATTCTGGAAGAAATACAACGCATTACACTTCTGTTCATAAGAAAGTTAAGCAGCGATTTTCAATGATAACATCCAAAATAAAGTTTTCAAATACTAACTCGTCCTCGAGAACTGGCACCAATCTGAGGATACTTCAAAATTGTCCAATCAAATACATAGTCGAATTGACAACCTGCACCAATGAAAGGTTAAGATAGCATCATGAAAGACAATCAAAGACTAAAAATGGGATAGTTAACAACAACTGGGGAAATTTTTCGGACCAAAAAAAAAGTAGGCATCAAAGATATTTTTAAAAAAGAAGAGAAATTACCTTCACGAATAAACAAGTCTCTGAAAAGCCTCTTCAAATATGAATAGTCAGGTTTATCTTCAAATCTTAATGATCGACAGTAGTGGAAGTATGATATGAACTCAGATGGATAAGATTTGCACAGCACCTGTTGTGGACAAAAAAAGGAGTCTTCTCTGAATTACCTCATGCACTGACAAATCAGAGGCAAGATGGCCCAAACTAAGGCTAGACTTTATCAATAATCATAATAAGTACATTTGACATCCATACTTGACGCAAACCAGGGTAAAGTTTAGTGTTACTGTCATACTTCAACAAAATATTGAGATGAGGTGACTGCCCTGTACATGAACTCATCATTCACAAAAGGTAATGTAGGTTGTACCAAAATGTATTCATTTTTTTTTTTTGAGGAACAGGTAACTGTATGTACCAAAATGTATTCATATTAGGTAATAAGTACCTCTATTGGTGTTAACATCTTTTTCTCACTGATTTTGTCATATTTCTGCTTCTTAGTACCACCTTTAAGTCCCTGCCATGGAAGGCTGAGCCAAAAAGAAGATGTCCCAAGTCAGGAAACAGAAAAACACCCAGAATTTACAATAAGAAACAGAACAAAGTCAGAAATATGACTTGAAAACAAAACAAAGGGCATAAAATCCAACCTTCCTCTAAGAAAATACATAAGCACATAACCAAGAGATTCCAAATCATCTCTTCTGCTTTGCTCTGCAATAAAAATGAAAAAGGGCAACAATGATCAGTTGTAAAAGGTACTGAAACTAACTATGCCCCAAGTAGTTCAAGAATCTAAACAAGATACACCTACCAACTCCAAGATGTGTGTTGACACTCGCATACCGAGCAGTTCCAGTCAGATTCTTGTTTTCCCTGGGGAAGAAAATAATAAAGAAGACCATATAGAGGCAGTCAAAATACAAATTTATCAGAACTGAGGAGAAAAGATTTAAAGAATGAAATAAAAATTTGACCAGCGCACTTTTTGAAACTACACTTTCCTTGCATCCTCTTTAAAAAAACACCTTACTTTACCTATCCCCCCAAAAAAGTAAAATGACCAGCACAGAGTCATCATTGTTTCATCCTTTTTCTTTTACTGTTCTTTCATGGACTATGAATGAAGTCACGAGGAGGATAAAAGGAAATGCTATTCATTTTCATAATGAAGCAGATTTTGGTGCTTTAAAGAAAAAGAATCTATCAATACAGTCATGTCAAGCAAATTGATATAATTTTTCACTGGGGAAAAAACGAAGGTCACCAGAAATTGTGATCATGCCTCTTTCTCATCACTCTCACACTTAAACGTAGAACAGAGCTCTAGAAGAAAAAAAACAGAAGAAAAGAAAAAGTGCAAAAATCAGACACCCAACATACAAAATTCTTGATGATGAAGACTTTCTATGGATATGGAAAAGATTCAAAATTCTGCTCTCTTTTTTTCCTTTAATAAAGCTATTCACGAGCATATCGATGTATGTGTATACATATATTTATCAAGGACCAGACCATGTCAAGATTGTTGTTACCTGTATGGTATATGCTTGTGAGTCTGGAGATCCCTATACTTTTTGGCAAGCCCAAAGTCAATTGCATAAACCTGTCATCAGTATTTAGACACCATTGCATCAGCTACCAACACTTTATTTTCCTTGAAGCTCTTACTTCAACACTGGTATTCGGTAAGCATAAAACATCCAATTACAGACCTAGAGAACCATAGTAGTGGATCAAATAGATAACTTAACCTTAGAAAGCTTAAAGAGAAAAGAAACATTAACTTTAACACCAACACCATATCAGAACATCAGAAGCTCAATTAAGTCATTCCTACACACCCTCAAGACATCACTCAATCTTTTCAGCAACAATACATGAGGTAATCCTACACTTATACTGTAGAACCCATTCATGAAGAAAGCTGGACACGAATTGTAGACTTTGTAAGCTGCAACAAGCATCGCTGTATGACATGATTACACCTAATAGAATACAAGCCAGTAGTTGGGATATCAACCACCAACATGCAGTCTCTTAACTTGAACAGAAGTTGCATTTCCAATTCAAGCATAGAGATAGCATGCACAGTTAAAGGAAGCAACTTAGCCAGAATTCAACAAAAAAGAAATCACACTTCAAAAATTGTTTCCACAACCAAATATCAGTAATAGACTTTAGCCAACCTGAAATCTGAACTCAGTAAACCACCAATGATCCCAAACTATGTAATTCTTTTCTATTATATGGTAAAGATAATAATGATCCCCAACTCATAAGGAAGAAAAGAACTGCTGGAAAACAGACATCAATAAGCGACTATTGGCCAGAGCCATGACGGAATACTTAGAAGTTCATTTTGATAATGCCAAAAATAAGTTTGTACAAGCAGGGCATGAACGCGTACCTGATTTGCCTTGCGACCTAAGCCCATTAAGAAGTTGTCTGGCTTTATGTCACGGTGAAGAAATCCTCTGGAGTGCATGTATTCAACTCTATTAATCTAAGAATGGCATAGGACAAGTTATTATTACCTCATGTAAATAGGCAAACATGTAAGAATGTTACTCTTTGGAAAGAAATGGCTTGTTGATACGTACGAGTTGATCTGCTAGCATTAACACTGTTTTCAAAGTAAACAACCTGTTGCAATAGTTGAAAAGGTCTTCCAAACTTGGTCCAAGAAGGTCAATGACCATTATATTGTACTCACCCTCCACTCCAAACCATTTGAGGTTAGGAATCCCGGCTTCATTCAGAATGGAAAAGATAAGGAGATTAATTCACTATTCATAAGAGTGTCACTGGCAAATCTACTTGCTACATAACATGAACGACAAAAACATTATTTTTCGATAGTTAAAAATAGATGTTACAAGAATTTTGTATTTTGGTGTAGGGAAAGCATGATAGATGCCTTGTTTCAATGCTTTGAGTTTTTGGAATTACTAGGGATGAAACTGTAACAGCTATGCTGTAAGGATAGGGAGGTTTTTCCGTTTTTGCAGTACTTCATTGGTACTTTTTTTTAATGATAGTGGTGTTCAGATCAGTTTGTGTGAATCTTGGTTATTCCACCCGACACCTGCTACCTCCTACCAACACATGACTGAGTAACTTTGTTCATCAAGGCTTAGGCAGATGGAAAACGATCACCTTGTGGTTTTCTCTTCTTTTTTTTCTATTATTGCCTTGTTGGGTTTTGAAACTAAGATCCCATGGTTCTCCTCCCACTTTATTGGCCACTACGCCACACTCTAGGGTGCAACTTCCATGGTACTTAATTAATGAATTCTACCTACCATATAAAGGAAAATTCAAACAAGCCCATAGAAAATACGTTTCCTTTTCCATTAATATAATAACTTGCCATGTGAAATAGAAGTTGCATAAGAATGAATAGCAAAATCTCCAAATAAACAACTAGATAAATCTATTAATTTGAAAATTAAAACAAGGGGCAGCAAGTGCAAGGTTCTGTAAAGCAGACCAGACTTATGCTTTAGTGGCACTCCACTGTTCTTCTCTCTTTGTTTCGTTTTAAGAACTTTTTTTTGGGTTGTTTTTAAGAGTTGCTATCCAAGAATAAAAATCACATTTGCAACATATGTTGTAATTTGTAAAGAGATGATATGTAATATCAGGGGGTGGAAGTGAGACTTACTTCCTCCTTGGAGTAGCATATAAATTTTCGATTCATAGTGCAGTTGAGGATGCCTCGTCTTGACAGATTCCTGAAAGTTAAAACAACAAGAGAAAAAAACCCTGAAAACGGTCCTATCACACAAGTCTTGAAACCCATAACCCACAGGAGATTAAAACACATACTTGCGAAATAACCAAGCCAAACATATCCAAAAAACTAGTTTTGCATTCCATAAGCAGCATGATACCAAAAGAATGTAGAAGCTCATGGAACGAGAAAACATGACTGCTATGGAATTCATATTCACATTTCATATTCTTTTTTTATCAACAAGAAATCATCTATATCCAACCCTTTGGGCCAACCACAGCCTTCGAAACTCGGGGACATTGGGCCCGCCACTCTACCCTTTTCCACAGCTTATTTTCTTTTTTTCGGTGGTAACACTTTGATAAAAGAAATAAATTTAAGTAGTTTTTTATAACTACATAGTGCAGTTCTACTTAGACTAGGAACCTCTTCTGGAAAATGAAGTATTACAAGTTAGATGCTACTTCAATATCTTAGATGGACATTCATCCTGTGTTCCAACTTCCACCAACTTACAAATGCTTCTACTATACACCTTAAATTTCCAGAATAGATATTCATGCTAAAAGAAGTTTCACCATTTTTTGTTGTTCCTCAGCAGAGTAGAACAAGCAATAGATAGAAAATTCATACAGAACAAGAGTTACTTGAAATCCCATCAGATTAACTCAACACAATAATGTCCCAAAACTCTTGTGATATTAAAAATATCGGCAATATGTCATGATAGCAAGAGAACAAAGAACAATAGAAGCAAATGATCTGTTTAAGCCATTAATTATGATCAAACTAGTTACCTGTGTAGGGATAAGTGTGATATTAGAGAACCCCAATTGCCTTAAAAGGTAAGTATTGGACTGAAACAGACTGAATAAAGCGGAATAGACATACAAGATTCACATAACTGATCCTAACTGATTCGGGATAAGGTAAACTAGATTGATTTAATGTCACAACAACAATAAAATGCATTAGTCATTACATGGAAAAATGAATCCAACCACGGGAACTCCCTCTATGCAATAAAAAAGCAGCAAAAAAAGATTGATAATTGCTGGTTAGAGATGGGCTCATACCAGCTTAATAGCAACTTCTTCTCCATTCTGTAAATTCACACCTGAATCAACAAAGACATAAGCAGGTAAAAAATTACTAATAATACAAATGCAAAATGAGGCTAATCCTGAATCATATAATATCAAAGAGAATCAATGAACAAAAGTAATAACAGAACATACCTAAATAAAGCTCACCAAAAGACCCACTTCCAATCTTCCTTCCCAGCTTAAACTTCCCACCCACAACATGATCCATGGTGATTCAATCACCCTCTTCAAATTCACCAAAAACAATACTTTCACAGCAATAATCACCTTTTTTCGGCAAGAACAATACTTTCACACCAAAATATCGTTAAACAATTCAATTTTCAATCCAAACCCCACAATGAGGCAAAACCCAACAACAACAACAACAAAAATCCTAAAAATTATGCAGCAACAACTGTCTTATTCAGCTACATCCTTCAACAAAAAAAAAAAAACTCGGGTCAATCTTCAAATACCCATAAAGAATTAGAACCCTAAATCACAAATTAAGTCATCGATCCACATTGATCAATTAAAACAAAAAAAGGTAATCAACGTAGGATAAAAGTAGAAACAAAAACCGTGTAGATTTTCTTCTGTATATAAATAGAAAACTTTCGGTTTGTTTTGACAGAGGAATCAGAAAAAAGGGGACAAAGAAGCAAAGATCGAGGGGCAAAGTGAGAAATAGAAAGGAAAAAAAAGGTGTTTTTAGAAAAAGAAAGCAAATGATTTTGATGCTGTGTGCTGTGAACAAAGCTATGAAGAGAGATGAATATACGTGTGGGTGGGTTGTGTGGGGTGGGGAATTTGGGGGAAAAAAGGACAAGGACAAGAAAGATAAAGGAAAACATTAAATTTTTCGTGGTGAATTAATGAGAAATTTATATTATTTATAAAATATTTTTTTATTATTATTTATATGTCGTTTCTATTAAAATAGGTATTTTTTTCAATTTGTCATTTCACTAAATCAATATAAATGAACTATTTTTCATGTTTATCTTTTAGAGTTATTTGCATGTTATGTATTTAATCAACATAAGAAAACTAGTTAAATGATTCATGTTCATTTTGGTTAAATCAAAATATACTAATTCATGTTCTTGAAAATTTTAATTTCAAGAAAATATAAAATAAATGTACAATGATAAACTTACATATTTTCTTAAGGAGCACGAAACCTAAAATGATGACAGCTAAATAAGAGCAAATGAAGTATAATACAGTGAATAAGAAAAGTCGTTGAATATTTTTTAATGTAAAATAATAATTTTTACTAGGGTAGGTTTTTGTTTCTCTCGGAACATAAAATAGGAAGAAAAAAATTATTACTTTTCCTTGTTCTTAATCTATCTGATGATGTTTGATACATAGAGAATCTAATGAAAAAGAAAAAAAATGAGTAGTGTAATCTAAAATAAGTTATGCAAATTTTGATGGACGTGAATTATCTTATTATGGGTGAAAGAGAAAGGTTAAAATATTATTACTAAACATAGAAAAAAAATCTCCTTTAAAATCTATCAAAAAAATAAAAAATATGGATAACTAGTTAATTCGAGTTCATAAACAATCATTTGTTTAATTTATTAAAAGTAGGTGATATGTATTGTTTGAAATTAAAGTTTAAAGTTAATTTTATAAATAAATAGTTGTGTGTTTAAATTCGTGTGCAATTAATTCATGCTATATATAAATTATATTGAAATATAGGAAATATATATCCACACTCAGCAGAGTTCAATACTAAAGCTACGTGTTTGGATTTGCATTTGGCTTATGACTTATAAGTCAAAAGCCATAAGTTAGGATTTCTAACTTATGGTTTTTGGCTTATTTTTGTTATTTTGGCTTTAAAATAAGTGTTTATAAGCAACTCAAACACTTCAAAACTGCTTAAAAGCTATTTTGACTTAAAAGCACCTAAAATAAGTCAATTCAAACGGGCACTATAATTGCTTACAAATTAAATATAAAAAATTAATTTTAAAATTTTGAATGTATAAAAAATGAAGATTTTCTTGTAAGAAAAAAATTAAAAATATTTTTATAAAAAGCTATAAACTAGAGAATAAATTACAAGTTTGTTTTTAATTTTATCACCATTTTTTTTATTGAGATCTGGGATTTTATTTATTTATTTTATAAAGGGACAAAGACAAAAATACCTCTGAACTATCGTAAATTGTATGCAGATACCCTCCGTCATACTTTTGAGACATTGGTGCTCCTGCCGTCCAAAAACTAGAGTATATATACCCTTCACTCTAACGGAAGACTAAATAGGGACACGTGGTGCAATCTTATCCGTCAGATTGGCGGATAAGATTATGACACGTATATGTCCGTTAGTATAAAGGGTATATATGTTCGAGTTTTTGGACGGTAGGGACACTAATGTCCCAAAAGTGTGACGAAGGGTATCTGCATACCATTTATAATAGTTCAAAGTTATATTTTTTCATTTTCCCTTTTATAAATGATCGAGAGATCTTAATTCTTGATTATATTATATTTGGCCCCACATCAAGCTGTAAGCTTTTTTTAAAAATGGAGACAGGGACGGGAGGAACAGAAAAGTATATTGTAGGTGTAGAAAGGAATTAGGAAAACATGGAAAGAACAGCTGACCAACCATTTTTATTAATACATTGACTCAATGAAGGATGACCCCTACCCATTCTCACAACTCATAACTTATGATGGTTAATTCTAATCTGCGTCCCACGTGCATGAATTAAAAAAGAAGAAGATATTTTTCGATTCTGAATGCTCCATTTTGAAATTCTTTATTAGAATAAAAGAAACTCGGCACAAATCATGTTCATGCTAATAAATATACACAACTAGATGAGATATCTGCTAAAGTTTTTAGTTGCATTAGTTAATTGTCATTGAATTTCAGGTAGCTATAGGTTTTAAACACATTTACAAAGAGTGTTAATTGCTGCGAAAAACACATATTTAGCAACAATTAAGCTATTGTCATTAATTAATTGCCGCTAAAAATCATTTTTGATATAATGTGCACAGGGATTTGTTGATGTTTGGTAGTTGGCCTCCGCTACAAAATGGTTATGAGACTTCAAGCGTTACTGATTAGTAGGAGCAACACGATTGTTGGATCGCCATTGTACGTTGAGTGTTGCTGGGAATTGTTATCTTGCAGTTGGTAGGATTACCACTAGTTTGTGTTGTTTATTGGTTTATTGTAGGGCAAGATTCATCGACTGGAATCCGATTTTATAAGTCTGATATTGTATGGTGATAGCTGCAATGCCTCGAGAAAATTAAAGTTCATGGTGGAGAAGCTTTTCATAGAGTTGTTTGTATGTAATAGTGGATTCACGAGCACGTATGGCTGCTGAAATTTCACGGAACTCATGTTCTAGACCATTGAGAATCTTGACAATGAGTTCAGCATTTGTGATGGGGGCATCAGCAGTAGAGAACTACTGTAACGATTTTTTGTAAATATTCGGTGACTGGTTGGGGAGTCTTTGCAAGTTGAAAGCAGAGACTGAAAATTCTGGTTTGGGACTTGTTCGCATATGCAGTGTGCATGCAGTTGCAAGGACAATAGAGGCCATGAGTGTATTTTGAATGAGTTGGTCTTGACGAAATCAAAGAGTAAATGAAGAATTGACACTGGAGACCGTGCATGTTGACTGTTGTGATAGTGTGAGATGGAGCATGATGAGTAGACCCATCTAGATGACCATAGAGATCATGACGGTCCACGAGCATGGAAAATATGTGCATTCCATAAAATTTTGACTGCCATTTAATTTTATTGACAATTGTGAAGCAGGATTGAACTGAACAATCGTGTTATTATCAATGTTAACAACACTATATAGTAAAAAATTGCCTATTTGTGGAGGGTGGGTGGGAGAAACAAAATAATAATCGTACTCATTCTCTTGTTTGCTTATATATATATATAAATAATATACAAAATGAGTCTAACAATAATCTAAGCTAACTCCACAATAATGGGGGAGATAATGCTAATTACCTAATCCTTATAACAACCTGCTAAAGACCTAGTAAAACAGTACAAATTAGCAGTAAATTAATACTGTCGTAATTAATAACCACCAGTAACTAATGACTAGCTAATTGATACAGCATTAACTAATGCATTGATAATTATTCAAAATTTTATTTTAACATTTGTTACAAAAGGGACATGATGCTACACAGTATATATTTACATGTATTACAATAAATCTTACACCACTTTTGTAATTGAGAGAATCTCGATGAATATATATATATATAGGTTGTTGGCAATGAGAACTTATATATATTCAATTATTTGGTATCGAAATATAGTTATTGTTCCGTTACAACAACTCTCTCAGATCTCAATCAATGGATAGATTAATCATGTGATCCCTCATTTTTTTCAGATTATATGCTCCAAGTGACATCTGGAAATTAATATAATGCATGGTCCGATCATCTTAAAAAAATTCTTTATTTTTTTAACTTCGTTAAATAAAACAAATTAAAACGGAGAGACCAGTACTTTTTGAATTTTTTAAGGAAAATGTGACATCCCGTAGAAAAATATCTTATTGTGTAGCACAAGCTTCATTTTATATGGATTAATTAATGGAGCCCATGCACCCAATAATTAATGAATAAAACAAGAGTTTATGCATGGCAAATTGCGGCAGCTACTATTAACTTGTTGATCACTCCTTTTAATTATTTTGTGATCCGCCATGACAGAAATAATTTAAGGGGCCGTATGGCCATTTGATATGAAATTATGAGATAGAAGTTGGAAAAAAATTTTAATATGCGATTTAGATTTTTTATGTGGTACGTTTTTTCATAAAAATAAAAAATTCATAAATCGTAAAACTATTACAATTGTCCTAATTTTATACAATCTTATCAAATAAATAAAATTTCATAATACACTATCACAAAGATATTCTTAAAAAATACATGATTTATTGATCAAACTTTAATTCAATAATTAAAAAAAGCAATATGTAAGTTGTGGTGTACTAGTCTTTAATAGTCTCCCCATATAGTAGGGACAATTTTTTCACGTTGAACTTGCATTTATTGTTCATATGACTAAGAAGACGAACCAACATTGTTACTTTGAGTCATTTGTTGGTCAATTTGGTTGCTAAATAAATTTGATAAAAAATTAATGAATTTGATGAATATAAATGGTAAAGTAGAAATTGATTTGAAGTCAGAGGCGTATCTAAGGGGGGTCACCCTGTTCACGTGAACCCATGGTCCCCTCCCAAGATCATTTATAGTAGTGTTATAATTTTAAAAAATATTGAAATATAGATGCGTGAACCCACAATTCAAGTATCAGATAATGCAATTATGAATGGGTGCACCTCTCTCCGCAAGATTAGAAAGTTGAATTTTAGACTGGGTGCACCTCTCTCCGCGAGGTTAGAAAGTTGAATTTTATATTTATCTTGTTTTATTTTTCTTTCTAAAATTAGATAACACTTCTCTAAGTGGTAATTGGCATATAAGAATTAATTTTAGACCTATAATTTTAAAATTTTAACGGTTTTCAATAGTAAAAATCTAAATGTCGAACCGATCAAATTTATATCATAAATCAACATTTATATAACAGTGCACCCATCATCTCAAAATCCTGGATACACCTATGTTTGAAGTAATAATAAATTTTATGTTAGTGAGAATAATCAATATATGAGATGTAAATGGTTTAAAAAGTAATGATATGAATTATAAATTTTATTTACTTATGAAATAAATGGTTAGTAGATATAAATGTGGGTTGTTTTTACAAAATATACACTTTTGG